ACTGGATCTCAATCATACTGTGTTGCCTGGACCCGCTCTGCTTCTGATAGGCTTGTAACGTGTTAGAGCTGCGTTCCTCTCATATGATTGGTAGGTGAAATTAATTGACTCGAAAATATTAAACCGCATGCAAGTCCCCCCCCCCCCCCCCCCCAGTGGCGTCATGCCCATTCAAAGTGAGGGGGCACGTGCCCCCTCAGATTTTTCCTCCCTAGGGTGACCAGAAGTCCCGAAAAATTCGGGACAGTCCCCAAATCTAAGCTGTTGTCCCGAATCCCGAAACCGGCCTTAATTGTCCCGAAAATTATAGCCTACTAAAGCAAAATCTTGATATAAAATATTAAAAACTGTCCGTGGAAGTTGAGTCGTCCTGCAGCCAGCCCCTTCCAATTGCAGCAGCCGCAGCCGCGAGGACAGTGAATGTGCAGGCAGCCAGTCTAAACTTTAGTTTTTTTACGCGCGTCATTTGCTCTTGACGCGCGAATGGATTCAAAAGGTGTGTTCGACATCGGCTGCGGCTGGATGTAACTGATCGGCGAGAGTAGCCGCGTGCAGGCGGGGAGGAGCTGCAAACGGAGACGTGAAGTCGGACACTTTCTGGTTCCCGTAGTGACCGCTCACGTGGTGTTTGTATACTTTAGCACAGCTGAAGTGAAATAAATGCAATATTAGCCAAATACACAGATGTTTCAGAGACATTTTCATTCAATACTTTATGTACTGCTTCATACAGCGTTTGTTTGAACAAGAATAAAGTTCAACATAAACCTACAGCTACTATCAATGAAGTGGAATCAACGTTTTTTAATCAGTTTTATTTTGATAAACATAACACAATACATCGCGACTACATGAAAAGAGTGTTTACTGTTAAAAAAAAATGATTTGTGAGCTTTAGTGGAACTAAAGGTGTGTGAGAATAAACCGAATAAACACGAAACGCACGTGATCGTTGTCATGCGGTGAATCCGGCCAATCGTGGAACAGCTGTGTCGTCATCAGAGCTCGTGCAGCCCAGAGCAGCCGCTCTTCAGAAGCTGCGCTGGCTGAGTTCTCCGGCTATTCTCGAATCGCTCTCGCGGTACTTTGATGGGATACGTCACAGTCACGTGGCGTCGGCGCTGTATCAAGTCGGACAAAATTTCTAACCGGCATGCACTGCTTCAAGTCTGCCGCCGATCGGTCTGCGCAGAGCTGCATGAAGTCGAACAAGCCTAAAGTGTTCACGCGTAGGCTATAACTAGAGCGAATTTGACGCGCTATTCGCGTCTGGTGTGAACGCAGCATTAAAGGAGTGATTGATTGGTCGCGTCACTGTGTGCAAAAAAAAACTTCGTCCGGGCCTTATAAAGTCTGATGTCGGGTTAGGCCTACACAAAGCAAATCATCTACAAAATTATTTAGTTTTCCTATTTAATGACCGACAATTTAGTTGTAATAATAATTTTGCCATAAGGCTTATTAGCGTTAGGCTATAGCATGAAAGGTCTGATTTAGCCTACACACTGTTACAACAGTAACACATTTTTTTTTCACAATGACATTTGAGTTCATGATTTTAATGGGGTTTTTTTTTGGCAGACTAAAGACTAATGACAGACTTTGATCTTTGAATTAAAAAATATGTTTGGTTCAGGTTTGAAATTCATTATCTTTTAATGTAGTCTAATATCATAGTAGGACTACACCCCAAATCCCTACAGCATAGTTGTTATACAGATAGCTATACATATTGCATTTGATTTGATTACTTTTTTTACATTTCTGTCAAATATTAACCATTTTCAAATAAACGGGGTAGTGTTAACCTTATTCAGCACTGAAATCTGTCAAACTTCTTTCAAAGTCCTTCATCAAATATTAATATTAAAATAACTTAATTTCAGAGCACCACAAAGTCAGACCTCAGCACTTGTATGTGCTACCTTTAATGTAAGATCGTTCTTAGGTCACATACCAATTTAAAATCATAACATAAAAACTGCAATGGTACTGTTTTTAAAATCATGTGTAGTGGGCCTAAGTGTACAGTAAGTGTGTGTGTAAACATGCTTTAATGAAGTAGACTTCAAAAGCTTTTGAATTTGAGCTTACAGTTCTTTCATCAACCTGTCTTTTACATAAACTTACAAAATAGATACTTTAACTTAGTCCTCAGATAGAGGAGGGTTGCTGCTAGCTCCGTTAAGGTATTTCTGTCCCTCCCAAACTGCATTGAAATGGTATGTTTAGCAGCCAGAATTAAAAAAATGTTCAGGGGGAGAAACCCCCTGACCCCTCCTAACATGATCCATATCACCCATCAGAAAACAATTGCAACATCTCAGATTGTGCCCCCCCAGAATTTTGGCTTGCATGACGCCCCTGCCCCCCCCCCCCAAAAAAATCTTTTTTTTCCCTCACAGCCGATATTAATAGAGCTCAAGAGCTGCATACAGTTAATTTTTCTTTGCGTGTCGCGCCTCCCCTGTCGCTCTTTGGCGCCCCCCTGGGGAGGCGCGCCTCACCTATTAAAAACCGCTGTTCTACACGGTTCCGCACATAAACAACTGAGAGAAACGTTTCTACGGATAAAACATGAAGCCAAATAAACATGATTATGATGATATATGTTCTGTAGCTATGTATTTTTCTCTTTTTCTCAGGATCGATATTGCCCCCCAACACTTTTGAAACATTATGAGGCACAGATGTAATACAAATAAATAAAACATCTCCATTTAACAGAGCATTAATTAACATAGTTAGACCTAGCGCTAAAATGTGTTTGTTTTTTTAAATCAAGCTGAGCGCTTGTTGCCGCTGCTATCAGTTGCACGGATACAGTGTTCTCTTGTGGCGCGCGCACAATCTTCACTCGGACGCGCTCCAATCTATCGCCGTTGCGGAGACTCACAAAACAAAATGCACACTTTTTTAAAATAACTCCACACAGCTGACATGATAATTGCTGACAGGTCTCACCTTACTCGTTCTAGCTACTGTTCACGTGACGCCAGTGTTGCCAAGTCAGCGCTCCCTCTCACACCCCGAAACGCGATTGGCTACTTTTTAAAATGCAATTGGGCGGGTTTTGTTGTGAAAATCTGGCGACCCTGCGTGCAGCTGCAGCGTGACGCATGTTGCTCATCTCTCTTTACGGCATGTCTCTCAGGTGTTGTTAAGCATTTGTTTGACAGTTTAGGACTAGGTCCGTGGTCGTATCGGATCGGAATATACTCCCGCGATTCATACAATATCCGATCCAGTGATTTTGGCCAGTATCGGACTAATACCGATACCGAATATCGGATCGGCGCACCCCTAGACTCTACGATCGGCTGAAGTAATCCAGCATCCTTAGACCTTCACCGGAAATACCGCCGTGCATAGAGCCGTTCTCTGAGGAAATGTCGAGAACTCTCTCCTGGCCGTGATTAAAGCATTTAGAAGACATTTGCTGAGGTCTGTCTGTTTCTTACTGCTGCGCAGCTGGTCAGTTTAGGGAAGCAAGTAAGCTAGTTAGGGGAGCAATTTAGAGTTAGTGAACTCAGCTGAAGTCGACTGTAGACTCGCTGGAGTATAGACTAAATGTCGACTGAAGATGTTAGGCGACGTCGATTGGAGACGAGACCCAGATAGACTAAACGTCGACTGAAGACGTTAGGGGACGTCGATTGGATACAAGACCCAGGTACGTAGTTAGGTTTAGGGAAAAATCTACCACACATGCTATAATATCTCCCAGTAATGTGTCTTAGTAAGATGATATTTAAATGCTTAGTTTTATGATGAAAGCTCTATCATTTAACTGTGCGCAATGCATAAAACGCATTACCATTCTTGTACACATCGACTTGTATATGAGCTTGTATAATTCACTTTTACACACACAAGATATTAAATACATTAAGCCTATAAGCAAAAGCTGGATATAGGCTTTTTTAGTTTATTGTCATTTACAGCGCTTCACGTTCATTACTAATCACATAACCAGCACTTGATTCATCCTAGTTAACTATTTCAGTAAAATGCTCACACACTGTACTTTTCTTTTGTTATTAATTCTTTTTTTTTCTTTTTTCTCTTGGATCTGTTTTGCCTTCATTGCTGCTTAAACAAATGGACCCCGCAACCGCATAGCTTAAAGAGTCGGCAAATTAGTGCCTGATGAAAAATTAAGCTTTAAACAAGTTATTTCCATTATGTTGGAAAACACTCTAATCAGAATAATTTCTGTTAAGCTTTGCCTTGTGTATATTTTTTTAGTTAAAGCTGTTAAGTTAAGCAATATCTCATGTGGGGGTTTTATATAATGGCCACTAGGAGGTGATCTGGGCATATGTTTTCCTTGATTGGTTTTCCCTGAAGAGATCGTTGTTATTGAAAACGAAATTAAAAGAGTGAGGGACATTCGTTGCGTTTTACCGCGAAATTAGAGTTCTGCCTTTATTATAATCAACACAATGATTTATCTCATCCACCCGCGACCCACCCACAATTAATTGGAATTTTGTTTTTTATATTATTTGGCCTGCCCGCGGATTACCAATATGAATAAAGCGGTTTAGTGCAGATTTTCTGAAGAGATACGATTGCAATAATTAACAGATTAAATTTAGGCTTTTATTCACGTTATAAATATCAGTGAACATAAACAGAAGTTTAACCCGAAACCTGTTTGACGTGCGAGAACAAACCTCATTGGCTCTTGCGGAAGCTCAAAGTTTTGACCAGTCTGACAATTTATGCTACCCTCAGATTTTGTTAGCTCCCACTGTAGGTAGCTAGCACAGTTCGACAGCGAAAAAAAATGCTACCTAACAGATTATGCTACCAGCATTATATTCATGTGGTTTGATGCTTTATACCAACCCCTACCCTAAACCTAACCTTAAAACAATCCGTTTAACCGCCAAGCTGCCCATCGCGAGAGAGATGTTTGAATCCTAAATCAGATAAACACGTCTGAAGTATTGTGTGTAAACTGCAAAAATAGCTGAGAGTGAAAAAGCGCCTACCTCAAGGGCTCTCTCTGGATCCTCGTCTATGAAACTGTCAGAGAAACGCCTGCAATGTAATTTCACATTATATGGGTAACGTTATAACGTTACATGTATGTGTGTGTAGGTATTAAACGCATTTGTTAAAAAGGCCTTAAATAACTCACCCGCTGGTTGCCATGGGTCCGCTCTCAGTACTTTCCTTCTGAAGCTGTAGAAAGTTCTGGAGGAAACGGAGACGCTAAAGGAAGTAAACATGTGGGCCTGACAATCATAGACATCTAAACGTAGAAATCACATTCGACCACTGCAGACGTGTTAACGCGTCCGCCATATTGGAACGGTCAAAAACCCTTCAGATGCTGTCGTCCCTCACTGTAAATCAACGAGTTTTTAGATGGCACAACAGTGTGTAGCCTCTGCTTGTAAAAACTGCCGGGATTTAAATTCCCTAAAAAAAACGAGATAACCTTTCACAGGTGGGAATGTGTTGGTTTATGTTTTTAATGTATATTAACTCAATATTACAGGTTTTTAAACTATGCTAACTTTTAAATGTCGTGTTAGCTAATGCTTTCATCTTGTTGTATTAAATCCTATGAAAATCATCTGGTGAAGTCTACAGTAGTTATAGATATTCATACTTGCATATAACTTTGCTTGCAAACACAGTCAATTTATTCTCGATTGTTCATGGACTGACTTTGACCGTTTGGACGGCTTATGTGGAATCGCTAATGAGGGATCTATATATATTATATATGTATATATCTATGCTGTCAATCCTGCGCTACTTCCGGAATTAAGAACTATGGGAAAAGACCCGACAAAATACATTGCGCACAAAGATTCGTGACAAAAACCAATATGTATGTATGTATTTATGCATTTATGTATTTATTTATGTATTTATTTTTTGGAAAAAAAAAAATAGAAACCATCACAGAAATTATAATGGCTTCCACTACAAAAACATTACAAACCTACGGAGCCCCTAAAGGGACGTGGTGGTGGAAATTTTTTTAGGATAGGAGATTTTTTTTTTTTTCAATCTTTTGCGTTCCCTCGCAAAACTTTTGCGTTCCCCCGAGAAACTATGCGTTCCCTCGCAAAACTTTTGCGTTCCCTCGCAAAGATATTTGCGTTCCCACGCAAAATGTTTGCGTTCCCTCGCAAAGTTATTTGCGTTCCCACGCAAAAGTTTTGCGTTCCCTCGCAAAGATATTTGCGTTCCCACGCAAAACCTGTTGGCAGCTCGGACAGACACTTCCTCCTGTTTAATGTCCCGCTGGCAGTGTTTCAGAGCTCCGTACGTTAATGGAGCGTTTCATAGTGTTTGAACTTGGACTCTAATATAAAGAAATGCGGTCAGTGCTTAACTCAATGTGTTCAGTGAAGTTGGCAATATATTCACATGCTATTCGAACTTCCCGGATCAATATTCTTGAGCTAAACGTTGTTAAAACACAAACGACACCTATTTACAATCACAGTAACCTAGACAACGAGATACAACCCAATTCTCCTCAAAACGAGCTTTATAATATATAATTGGATCTCTATGAGCACGCAGGCGGCTGAGTCCGAAGGGACCATCTGCAAAGTGCAATATAACCCCAAAACGACTACAGCATCAACTCATAGTCAAAAATATAAAAATAGTCATTAACTTCAATGTTACAAACCACCCAATTCAGTTTACACATCAATGGTAAACTCACTGGTCATACTGCACTGCTTCTGCACATTTTATATTATATAAAAAAAAATATTTAATAACTTCACTGTAACACAACAAATTTAGTTCACACATCAGTGCTCTAATGTTGGTTATACAACACTTAGTTTGGGAAGTAATTGCACATAAAAAAATAAGTAGGCCTATTCTTTACACAAATTATATTGGTAGGCTACTGTACGCAGCTAACATAATAGTTACAACCATAGCTTTTGCATTATATTTGCTTACTGAATTTGATGGCATTACACTGTACCCAGATAGCACACGTACGTCTGACCGACGTCGGCCCCACATCGAGCGTCGGCCTCCCTCCCTATAACATCGCAGAGGCGTCGGCCAGGCATAGGCAGATCTCCTGTCTGTCAGTGCTCTATTTACAAGCTCCGTTACGTCGGCTTTGAGTCGGCCCACTATACGGGAGGCCGATGTCGCGTTTGCGCGGGTCCATCTCAAGCATTCAAAGACAATTTATTTTATAATTAACCATTTTGATAAATTATGTGATAAAAAAATATGAGAAATGGCTGGTCATTTTAGACATAGGCCTATAGAGCTATAGGCTGCGCTGCACAATTCAAAACTCTCCGTCTCAGACATGTTCAGCACTATTTATCGTTCGTTTTTAAAGGGATGAATGGCTGCACGCGATGAATTAAGTGACAGCGCATGGTTCGTGGTCAAAATGAACACAGATTGACATGAAAAATAAATAACTAAAGAATAAAAAATGCGAATAATCAAATAATAAATAAATAAATAAATAAATAAATAATAATCAAAAGTTTTTATTTTATTTGTATTATTCTTGTGACCGCAGTATATTATGTGTGGGCATAGGCCATTGCACCTATGAACTAGTCATAGATCTCCAAAATCAGTTTTAAATTCATAATTTAATTTAAGTGCTGCATGATTTTGACGTGGTTTAATCAATGGCCGTGCGCGTGAATTTTCGATTCGCTCTCAAACACTGGAGCGGTGTGGTGAATAATCCGGGCCTACTTACAGAGGGACCTATCAATTCTAGGACGAATTTACCTAACTAAGATGGAATGTTTATCGTGATGTATTTACCCAGCCTATTCCAATGCCATTCCAAACAAATTAATTAAATCTATCAACCAAATCAACATAAACTTCGTTTGGAGAAACAGACCACATTATATGAAAAAAAGCAATATGGTTAAAGACACAAAGGATGGAGGACTAAAAGTTATTGATTTTGACTGCCTTAATGGGACCTTAAAAATAAATTGGTTAAAATCTTGGATCAAACACGGCAACGCCTTTTGGTATTGTATTCCAAATACTTGATTCAAGAAAATAGGAGGTTTAGATTTTCTGCTTAGAGCGGACTTTAATGTTGACAAATTACCTATATCCTTATCAGAGTTTCACAGACAAATACTCTTGTATTGGAAAATGTTGTACGTACACAACTTCTCACCCCACACGTCTGTACTATGGAACAACAGATATGTTCTGCACTGCAACAGATCTCTGTTTTTTGAAGATTGGTATGGGAGAAATATATGGTCCATAGCTGACTTAATGGATATCAATGGTCATTTCTTAAATTATGAACAATTTGGCATCAAACATAATTTCCAACCCTTAAAATCAGACTTCACTAAATTACACAGAGCGCTACCCCAACAATTTGTCTTTCTAATAAGAAACACTTTGGCATATGTAAGCAATAAGGTACGAGAGGCTGTGCTGTATCGTGAATAAGTAACGGCTGGAGGGCGTTGTTAGGCACGACGCGAAGCGGAGTGCCTGCAACCCCTTCAGCCGTTACTTATTCACGATACAGCACTTGCCTCGAGTACCTTATTGCTTTTATAAAACGGTTGCCACACAATAAAAATATTAAAGCCGAAAAATATGTATCTATGCAACTTTCATGAAGTAAAATCACTAAAAGCCTGCCTTCCGCTGGAAAAAATAGTCCCGGAACGTGAACAGCAACAGAAGTTACATATATTATTTCGCCAATAGATGGCGGCAAAGACTGTCTTTATGAGTGAGTGAGTGAGTGAGTCTGTAGAGAAGGCTTTTGAAAGGACTCGAACTTGTGATCACAGAGAAGACAGACGCAACTGACAGATGATTAACGTTATGCACGGAAAACCCCATGACTGTTAAAAGGACAAAATATGCAGCGGACATTCAAACGCATTTTTTTATTATGAATATAGGACTGACCTGAAGGAAAATGCTACGTCTACTGTAAATGCAGGTACACTCGCTTACTCGATCTCTCACAATGCTCTGCTCTAGCTTTAAATGAACAATATCAATGAGATGAAACATCTGTTTAAGTTGCTAAGAGTGGTTGCTAGGGGTGTTGTGTAGTGATACATAGAACCGTTGGGTGAAGCGGTCATAGCCGTGTTTTATCGTGAATAAAGCACAGCTATTGACCAATCAGAATCAAGGATTGGAACTAACCGTTTTATAATATCCAATACAACCACAATTGGCCTCACTATCAATTCAAGGGATTTGTATTCTAGATAAAAAATGTACTAACCACTTTATTAGAAATTGTTTTACTGAATACCTTTACCCTGAAAGGCAAAATAAAAATAACATCATTCAAAAATTTGATAAAGATTCAATTACTAAACTAAGAACAATGTATCTAACACTCCCTATACCCCCCAAAGTGAAAGAAACTCACTTTAAAGTAATGAACAACATTTATCCCTCTAAAGAATTACTGAGACTTCGCTTTGGTATAGATGATAACACTTGTACATTCTGTGAAAAGGGTGTTGAAACTACGGACCATGTGTTTTTCTCATGTAATGTAATACAGATATTTTGGTGTGATGTACATAAATGGATTAAGCAGCAGATATCTTCATTCCCAACCTTTATATCCAGAGACGACATTACATTTGGTTTGATTCTGCAAAGCAAGGATGTTGAGTTGTGTATTAATACAATTGTATGTCTAGCTAAATTCTTCATTCACAAGTGTAGAATTGTGAAATCATCTCCCAAATTTGTTGTTTTTTTAAATGAATTTAAACTGTATATAAAATCCTTAAAAACTCTGAAAGGTCCTAAAGCTCAAAAAATATATGATACCCTAAAACACTTCCCAACTGAGATAAATGGATGAAAAAGTCTGAATTTACCCCTTATGTCATGGATGTTTTATCTACATACTTATTATTTATTTATTTATTATTATTATTATTATTTATTTTTTATTATTATTATTATTATTATTTATTTTTTATGTTTTATTTTCCTTACCAATATCCTATTTTGTAATTGTCTACATTACATTCGTGTTGTATTAAGTGCTGCTCCCTCTGGCTATATTTTTCTTATATCCTATTCTGTAAAAAAGGAAGTTATGCAGCCATGTTTGTTTGTAAATCTTGATATTCAATAAAAAAAAAAATAATAATAATCCGGGCCTACGTCATTTCCGTTTTCTCCGTCATTTCCGTTTTGCCGCTAATTTCCGTTTTCACCGCTGGATAGACAGCATATTTATTTTATATTTTCACCTCTGGATAGACATATATTTATTTTATATTTTCACCTCTGGATAGACAGCATATTTATTTTATATCCAGCTGCAGCCCCGCAGACTCACTTCTCGATAGACACCACCATAGACAGTAAAAGAAATGGACAGAGCGATCTCATTGGAACTCAGTTGAGACAGTTGAAGCCCACTTTTAGCGATTTTTGAGAACTTCCGTTCCTGACGCGCAGACTCAGACCGACTCAAACTAAGCTTGATGACGTGAGCAACCTGTCTGACAGACGTTAATCTTCTAGTAGCTGTGCGTGAAAACTGCCAACGTTAAACTTGCAGAGACGGGGAACTTGAGCAAAGAGTTCTTTGGCGTGAGTGAGCAGGAGTAAGTATTCTGTTGTTTTTATGGACTCATTATCTATGGGCTTCTCCCTTGACGGGACGTCCCCCCGATTGCCTGCGAGCTTCTCCTCCTGTCTGTACGGTAATTTCTGTACAGCGCGACAGAGAGTCGAGTGGTTATGACGCAATCGTTAGCCTATTTTTACTAAATCTGTTTCTACGGGGCCATAGTGTAACATAGAAGGTAATGGAGCCCTTTATACATTGTCGTGTTTCTTTAGAAATAAATAATGGACAAATGGAGTCTTTAAACGCCTCAGATGTAAAGTTATTCGCTGTCAAAGTGACGCAAAAATGAATGGGAGTCAATGGAAATGCTAACGCAAGTGAAGTTCTGCTACAACATGGCGGCACCCGGCCGGCTTCAACTTCCGGTCGATGGATTACCCCCTTGGACACCACCAGTGGATGGACAGCCTACGTCATTTCCGTTTTCTCCGTCATTTCCGTTTTGCCGCTAATTTCCGTTTTCACCGCTGGATAGACAGCATATTTATTTTATATTTTCACCTCTGGATAGACATATATTTATTTTATATTTTCACCTCTGGATAGACAGCATATTTATTTCATATTTTCACCTCTGGATAGACACCATATTTATTTTACATTTTCACCTCTGGATAGACAGCATATTTATTTTATATTTTCACCCCTGGATAGACAGCATATTTATTTTATATTTTCACCCCTGGATAGACAGCATATTTATTTTATATTTTCACCCCTGGATAGACAGCATATTTATTTTATATTTTCACCTCTGGATAGACATATTTATTTTAGATTTTCACCTCTGGATAGACATATATTTATTTTAGATTTTCACCTCTGGATAGACAGCATATTTATTTTCTGTTTTCACCAGTGGATAGACACCATATTTATTTTACATTTTCACCTCTGGATAGACAGCATATTTATTTTATATTTTCACCCCTGGATAGACAGCATATTTATTTTATATTTTCACCCCTGGATAGACAGCATATTTATTTTATATTTTCACCCCTGGATAGACAGCATATTTATTTTATATTTTCACCTCTGGATAGACATATTTATTTTATATTTTCACCTCTGGATAGACATATATTTATTTTAGATTTTCACCTCTGGATAGACATATTTATTTTATATTTTCACCTCTGGATAGACAGCATATTTATTTTCTGTTTTCACCTCTGGATAGACAGCATTCTTTGCAGGCTTAATTGCACACGTCTTTTCCGTATTGTCATTTTACTTTTATGACTTAAAATATATAATATAAAAGCTGTGTGCAAATTGAAATATGATCTTTATCATATCTCTTTACATAAAACAATTCTCAATTATATACCTAATATTATAACTTCAATAATTCATGCAAACTGCATTCACAAGAACCACCTTGAAAATATATATTGTTCAGATCATATCACTATTTTTTGTGACTTAAATTCAGCCTAGATCAATGGACTATAACGTTTTGTCAATACAACAGACTTGTACATGTTAATTGACCACAGTTTTTTGCCTTGCCCATTTGGATATTCAATTCTTTTCTTTTTTTTTTTGTAAATGTAACCACTTCTGTTTTTAAAATATACGTAGATTCACATGATCAGACAATTTACCAAACAATCCAGATCAAATTAACACTTCATGGTTTTGCAATATTTATTGGAAATTACACAATCTAATTAGTAAAATTAGTCAAATCTGACCATCAGAATGAAGATGCCACAGTCAGGCCCGTAAGGTTGTGGGGGAAGTCCCTATTTCAAGAGAATAAACTATAGACCAAATAAACTATTGGCTTTATGCACACACAGCTTAACTACTTCCTGAACTTCAGCCAGCCCTTTGTTTCCTGTCTGTCATTATTGGACAAACTGATTAATTCAGGTGTGCCTGGCCTCAGTAACAATAATCAGGCACACCTGGACTAATCAGTTTGTCCAATAATGACAGACAGGAAACAAAGGGCTGGCTGAAGTTCAGGAAGTAGTGAAGCTGTGCATAAAGCCTATTGCACACTGTGCACACCACACCTCATTCCTGCCGCCTAAAACTGGCAGTCTGGGCAATGCTCAGGAAATTCAGGGTCTGTATAAAACCCTCGCAGGTCTCCATACGGTACCCCACCCAGTCTTTGAAAGAACATCTGCAATTTCTGCATTGTACAATTTTAAAAGGGACACACATGTCTCTTACAGCCTGGGGCAGTTTTTTGACATTCACCACACCTAAAGCAAGAACAGATGTACAATATGATTAGAATGAGCATGTTTATATTTAACTATATTGGAGTACAAGTGTTCTATTGTAGCAACCTAGCTCTAGAATTGAGGCACACCAGAGTTCACTAATACCTTTAAAAAACACGACAAAGTACCTTGAAAACAAGACGATTTTTTAACTAGCTAGTTTGTGCATTTGAATTCTGACATGACCTATAAATCATCGACAGTTTATATATTTTTTCTTACCGCTGACATCAGCATGGCGCGTCAAATTTGAAAAGTGAATGACGATACGGAAATGACGATACGGAAATGACGTAGGCCGTCCATCCACTGGTGGGCCTTTCTCAATCTGTGTGTTCTTGTCTGTACTTGTGTCCTTGTGTTCTTGTGAAACGTCATCTTTTGTGGCCCAAGTACTGTCCCAATACACAAGTTTGCATTTTGGCAAGAACAGTTATAAATCCCGGATGTGTTCTTGACACGCCCATTTTACCGAGGATGCATCGGCTGGTAACTTGTGTGAACTTGACGGCAGAAATATCCCAGCATTCAATTCGGCATTCGAGGAAGGAGAGGCAGGTCAATACAGTATTTCGTTTTTCTACAATTACGTACACTATTTCATCACTAAATTATATGGAAGTTTTTTCCTAACATAATTAAAATTAAAATGCTTAAAATATCAAATAATAAATCAAAGTCTCAAAACAACTGCTCAAATGATGAATCAAATGGTCAAATTATTAAATAATAAATCAAAGTCTCAAAATGGCTGCACAAATGATAAATCAAATGCTCAAATGCAATTTCATTTCCTCAATCGTGGAAGCATGAACTGTATCAAAAATCAAGTTAAAACTCATTTGTTTTTGATTTTTAATTTTCATTATCAACCCAGTATAAACCTGTCATAATTAAATCTATAAGTCAATGCTCAAATCATAAATCAAATGGACAAAATATAAATCAAATGCTCAAACCAACATCGAAAATGGCAAATCTAATGCTCAAACGGACATCGCAAATGATAAATCAAATGCTCAAACGGTAGCCGGAAACAGCAAATGATAATTCAAATGAAAATGAGGAATGTCAATCAAGTTGCGTGGGCGGAGCTTTAAGACCAACGGGCCGTGGTAACGTTACCTCAGGCGCTCCTGTCGAGTGTTTACCAAATTACCTCTTCGACGACATCGTTTTTTAATAATGGACACAAATGCAATTACAAGACTTTTAAGGGATGCAGCAGTATGGAGTTTCCTTTGTGTCTTTTTTATTCAATCAAACATTCTGTGTTTGAGAATAAAGCTAATTATTTTGTAAAAAAAAAAAAAAAAAGAGTGCAAAAAAGTCTTCTAAAGGCTCAAAAATAAAGAAGTTGATAACATAATTATTTGCAGTGTGTGTACTCTTGTGAAAACTTTTTTTATTCTTTTTGTGCACTTCAAAAACTTTTCATCACAAACCCACACATTTTGCTCTCCTTTCTGCTGTCTTTTTTGCGGGTGTAAATATTTTGCTTGCGAGTTGAAAAGTTTTGCTTGCGAGTTAAAAAGTTTTGCTTGCGAGTTGAAAAGTTTTGCTTGCTCGTGAAGATGTACCTCAGTAGGCGGTCTCTAACAACCAGATGAAAGGCCTTTTTCTATTGGTCACCCTCGATTGAAGTGACAGGTTTGCCACGCCCACTACAATTTCCCGCCGCTGCTGCTGCCATCATCGTCGCCAGGCCAGTCTGTGTCTGAGAGAAAAGCGAGCGAACTTCTAGAATGGCGAGCAACAGGTCGTTTACTGGGTAAGTAAGACAATTTAATATCATAAACAGTGACAAGTGAACTGAATGATTCTCTCCTCTTATGCTGTCCCATTTAAATACGTTGCGTCGGATAGACCAGTCTGTAACGTTAGTTAACTTAGTGTTACCGCTGACTAGATTGTATTAACGTTAGCCAACACCAAATATATTGTACCGCTTGCCGTGTGATTGATGTCCAATGTTGCTATCTGAGCAGACATACATAATCACATTGGATTTTCTCAGCGTAACGTTAAAGGCCACTATTTTCGATGTTCGTATAGTTAGTTTCTGGAGTGAATATATAGGCTATATATTCTGTATTTACACGACTTTGGCCAATCAGCGTGCACTAAAGTCACTGGTAACGTTAGTTCCTTCCTATAAGTTAGTCCTGGTTTAGACCCGCCATTAGTTCGAGGAACTAACGTTATAATAAGATTCCTTCGGTGCATCAGCCCCTTAAAGTCATAGGCACGTTAGTATTTTCACCCAAAAAAAATAGTTTAAAGTCAGTTATTCATCAGTTATTTTGCTGTAGTGTGTCAGAATTGCATCACCTTGGAGACGTTGCCACAGTTCTTCTGGATTTTGTCTGTCTCCGTTTTTCTGTTTCTTCATGTAATCCCAGAAAGAATCAATGATGGTGAAATCAGATTACCGGTATACCGGCTGTTGTCAGACTCATTGTGCATATAAACATCTCACTGGATTATTACAATTAATGGCTAAATGCATGTTTGGAAATGTACACTGATATTTCCTTCTGACACACTACAGCAACATTTTGATTTAGTCAAAAACTAAGTAATACAGTTAAATAGACATGCTTCTGAATGTTATATATTTGTTACATCAGCTAATTTTGTTTTTAAATGTTGTTTCTCTTTGCAGGACCACGCAATGGCAGATTTTGCATAGGTCTGTGGATAGAATTGGTTCAATTGTTAATAGGCATCCCATTGACTTTGATTATCTCCACTTTGTTTGCTGTCAGGAGTTACAGTTTGTTCGAGCTGGAGCATCATATATAGACATACCCCAGGGTGTGGTGGATGCTCTAGAACAGTTAAATGTAGTTATCTCCAATTACCTTTCACAGAGTATTGTCCCTCCATTGTTGGACAATGTAGCTGTGGCTGAATGGAGTGGAAGTGTGGGGCGTCCCAGATTAAACATACAAAGAGAAACACTCCAAAATTTGCTCAGCATGCACTTACCTCTGGCCTCTTTGGCTGAAGTGCATGGCATTTCAAGATCAACCTTATACAGGCGAATGAAAGAGGAAAGTCTGTCTGTCAGGAGCAACTATTCTGATATTTCTGATCATGAGCTTGATCAGAAAGTTAGATCTATAAAGGCAAGAACACCTCATGCTGGATACAGGCTGGTGAAAGGGTCTCTACAAGCAATGGGACACCGAGTTACATGGAGAAGAGTAAAGATGTCTTTGCAACGTGTAGATGGTGCAGGGGTACTTTCAAGGATGGTCCAGCTGTCATGCGTCGCAAGACGTACATACTCTGTTCCTGCACCTTTGTCTCTTGTCCATATAGACACTAATCACAAGCTGATAAGGTACTTTTTAATACATTTAATACAATTTTTTAATATATTTTTAATTAAATATTAATCATAGCTTTACGTTTGTCTTGTGTCATTTGTGATGTTGATGTTATATCGCTAAATCAATGAGATTTGACATTAAATCTCATTTACACATACCACTCAAAAGTTTGGGATCTGTAGAAGATGATTTATATTTTAAAAAGAAGTCTCTTGGTTTATCAAGGCTGCATTTATTTGATCCAAAATACAGTAGAAACAGTATTATTATATTATTACAATTATTATTATTTTTTATTCCTGTGACTGTAAAGCTGAATTTTCAGCAGTCATTACTCCAGTCTTCAGTGTCACATGATCCATCAGAAATCATTATAATATGATTTGATGCTCAAGAAAAAATATCATTATTAATGTTGAAAACAGTTAGGTACAATTTTGTTTCAGGATTCTTTGATGAATAAAGTTCAAAAGAACAGTATTAATTTAAAATATAATATTTTGCAACATTACACACTAGACACTACTGTTTAAAAGAAATTAATACTTTTATTCAGCAAGGATGCATTAATTTGATCAAAAGTGACAGTAAAGAAATTTATCTTACAAAAGATTTATATTTTAAATTGTAAAAGTATTTCACAATATTACTGTTTTTACTATATTTTGGATCAAAGAAATCCAGAAGAGACTGCTCATCAAATAAAATAAACGTTTTATGTTTTTGAAAATAAACAAAATGCTGGCTTTTTTTTAATAGGTACAACATAGTGATTTTTGGGGCTATTGATGGCTTTTCAAGGAAGGTAAACATATTTATTAATCAACCCCTCATCATTTCTCTTGTATATCTTACATATCAATATTATGCTGTTGTGTCCAACTCCTGAACAGATCTTTTACCTGGATGTTGCTGGGAATAACAAAGCCAAAACAGCTTTTGGGTTTTTCATGGATGGAATAGAAAAAAATGGATGGCCATCAAGGTATGCACATTATACAGAATGATTCTCACACAATGTAACACTGTCCATCAATAAAAGGGTTAAAGAAATACTGACGAGGTCCTGATATTGACAAGGGGGCGGAGAATTCGCATCAGTTGTGTGTGTGTGCTTGTGATCTTACTTCCACAATGTCCTTAAACAACAATATTGTTGGCCATAAACTGAGAAAGTGCGCGTCCGATGTGCGATACGAGTTGTCCTAGACGTGGCTCGCTACGCTTCTCCGGTCTAGCTAGATCCGGTGTGGTGTTGTAGTTATACTAACGTTACTAGTTGTTGCAAAAGCATGTGAAAAAAACTACAAAGTTTGGTAGGCCAAAAAGAACGTTAATCTCGCGATAAAAAAAATGTACGCTGTTAATAACGCATTTAACTGACAGCCCTAATTTAAACATACCCATTACCTCATTAAATAAGTATTACTGAGCTTTGGCTGTGTTGCTTTACAATCGTTCTGCTAAACATTGCTGAAGAGCTACATTGCTTGAGGGAAGAAATTTGTTATCAATAAATTAAGTTTTTGAAGCTGCATACTTATTATTAACTTTGCCAGGTATGTGTAATAACTACTCTGCTCATAGTACCCAGTCATAATCAGGTACTGAAACTGTCCGTGCTGTAAAGACCGTTTGAGCCGAGTTTGGTGTTTGTAGATTTGAGGCTCGTGAAACCAACACGTATAATACTTCTAATAATAAAAAACTGCTCTTTCGAACTTTTTTAGAGTACGAGCAGACCAAGGGGTGGAGAATGTAGACATTGCTCGGTGCATGTTTACTGTGCGAGGAACTGGCCGTGGCAGCTTTATTGCTGGAAAAAGTGTGCATAACCAAAGGTAATTAAATAGGAGAGCATGGTTAATGTATTCTTCTCATACACTTTTTTGCATCTCTGATTTTTTTTTAAATGTAAACTTAAGAAATGCAGTTAAATCAGCACCTCACACTTTTCTTTGTCTTAGAGTGGAACGGCTATGGAGAGACGTTTGGACTGCTGTAACATCAAGTTACTACAATGTTCTCCACAGCTTGGAAGAGGAGGGATTACTTGACCTGTCCAATGCCGTTCACCTATTCTGTGTGAGATATGTTTTCATCCCGAGAATACACACAGATTTGCAGCATTTCATAGAGATGTGGAACTGCCATCCCTTGCGAACAGAGGGAAATTTGTCACCGAATCAGCTTTGGAATATTGGAATGTTGCAAGCACCTGTGTCAGAGCCTGATTTTGCAGAGGTAAGCATGACTTAAGATAGATTTGGAAAAAAAAACTATACTGTATTATGGTATGTTGTAAGGTGATTGTGTTCTTGTAATCAATGCCTGTCTTCCCCCCAAATGTCAGATATTGCAAGCTGAGGAATTATTCTCCCAGAATTCACAGCGTGTTGACTCTGAGCATGGAGTCATTGTCCCAGAGATACCTTGCCCCTTGTCACCTGAAGATTTTGCTACTTTACAGAATCAAGTGAACCCCAGCGTTGAGTCCACTTGTTTTGGTTATGACATCTACTTACAAGCATGTGAATTAGCTGTAGATTTAATGTTATAAATATATATTCTTTAAAGGAACACTCTGACTTTTTGGGACTTTAGCCTATTCACCTTATCCCCCCAGAGTTAGAAAAGTCCATACATACCTTTTTCATCTCCGTGCGTGCTATAAGTCTGTTTGACGCACCCACCGCTAGCCTGGCTTAGCACAAAGACTGTTTGTAAATGGTTGCAGCTAGCATACTAATCCAAATAAGTGACAAAATAACGGAAACATTTTCCTATTTACATGTTGTGGTTTGTATAGTCACAGAGTGTACAAAGTCACATGAGACAGACATATTTTAACCGTATAAATACTGGGAACTATATTCTCTGAAGGCGAAGCACTGCTACTTGGGCGGAGTGATAACCGCAGCACCTGAGACGAGCCGTGGTGAGGAGCAGAGAGCGCGTCTCAGGTGCTGCGGTTATCACTCCGCCCAAGTAGCAGTGCTTCGCTTAAGCTAGGCTAGCGGTGGGTGCGTCAAACAGACTTATAGCACGCACAGGGAGATGAAAAAGGTATGTATGGACTTTTCTAACTCTGGGGGATAAGGTGAATAGGCTAAAGTCCCAAAAAGTCAGAGTGTTCCTTTAAAACAGACTACAGCAACAAAAAAATATAAATCCATGTATGAAAAAAGACATCCTGCTGTCTGCTTTGTCTCAAATGTAATTTATTAAGTGTTTTGCCTTCAATGAGAAAGTCAAAAAATAAATTCTGTAATGCAATAAGGAACTTATTTTTTATTATAACCTGTTTGTGGCTCCCACAAGAAATAGGCTGATTTTTTTTTTTGTAATTCATTTTTAAGAAATGTACACCAAATACAAAGTTTTACAACAATTTCAGAAAATTTTCTACACCCTGTCAAAGCTTGCCCCATATGTAACAGCAGTTTGCAAGATTGCTTTGAAAGACTCGTAATCTACCATATGGACTACGGGAAATGTTACGGTATTAGTGCAAGCACTGACAATTGGGTAACACACAGTGTGGTTTGGCATGTGCTGTAGACAGCAATGGTCAAATTTAAACACAATTTTAAAATTTTCCCTTTCTGATACAAGCAGATGCCTGTGAGCTTGCCCAGTCATCCACTGCATTATATTTGGTACAGACAAGGTTTCTCCAGCTGTCGCATCTTCTGGTTGAGTGTCTTCAGAAGAAGTAAAGAGATGTAATTAGAATGATTGTTTGTTTATTTATACTCTTTTACAATGGGAACTACAGTAGCACATTTACACCTGGTTATCAAATAACATAGCACATTATAAAATCATTTTAAGTCCATACCTTCAAGTTCAAGTAGGAAATCTTGAAAGAATTCCATGATTTTGGACTCTTTCACTTGTTTAATCGAACCAGTTGGGCTCATCTCTGGGGCCAGGTGGGATAAAATGTAATGGGAGTCAACCTAAATACCAAAAAGAAAAGCATAAAAATAGATTTTAACATTTGTAATTTGTGACAATACAAAAGCAAAATAAATAAATGCTCAAAATTTAATTTCTACATACTTTGTCATTATATCCTATGACGAAGAGATCATGACACTCCTGTGGCTTTTTCTGCATGACTTTGATGAGATCGTATATCTCAAGGCCCTCACGCAGTTGTTGCAGCATTGGGATGCGTTTTGTTGTAATATGTAGAGAAAGAGCTCTGGCAAAACAAAAATAAAAGGCAAAATTAAAACATTAAAAATGTTCATATTTAAAAACAGGGCATTCAAAGCAACAAAGCAGATTGTACTAAAGCAATAAGCCTCTTGAATAGTGTTTTACAGTGGATGTAGAACAGCTGAGGGGCATTGTTAGCTACGACGTGGAGTGCCTAAAACCCCTTTAGCTGTTCTAAATTCACTGTAAAACACGGCTTCAAGGGGCTTATTGCTTTTATAAAACAGTTTATTTATATAACAAAAATATTCATTTTAATAAATGTATTCATTAAATAAAGACCAGCAACAAAAAATATAACATTATAACACATTTATTCCTCCACCAAGCAATGTAGTTCCAGAGGTTGCCAATCAACACATGCAGCAACAAAGCATCAAACAGCAGTTGCGCAGTAATACTAATGTAATGTGCTCACAGGTGTATGTTGAGTAATTTACAACGGCTTTGAACGTAGCTCAACTAATCAGAATCAAGGACTGGAACTATAAAATAGTTTTATAACATTTATTTGTATAATTGAAATAAATTCCTTTGGTTTAAAGAACAACTATAATGTATGAGTCTGTATATATAGAAAGACTCATAGCTCCCATCAAACAAGTCTATAATTGTGAGTGTGATATTGCTCAATTTTCATCTGTACCATATTACAACACAGCAGGCATTGTACTTCTGTTAAGAGTTTATACTTATGTAAATGAACAACCTTTTTCTCAGTGCTGACCTTAATATGCTTTCCTTGTGGTCAGTGTCTATCAGTCCAGTGTAGCCACAGTCCAGGATATCTTTTGTGTAGTTGGACAGGTCAGATGCATCTTCAATCTAAAAGTAAAATTTTTACCTTTAATAAATAGTAACAAGCATGGTTCACAGCTTAATTTTAAAGCAAAACCAATTTGTCATTGGCTTTATAACATGATAACATCAAACTAATTTACTTATGGACAATAATTAATAGAGAACGTGTATCTAATGAAATTAAGTCAACCAGACCTACCATTTTGATTAGTGGTGATATCTCTGTGTCATATACACCATCCCTTTTGATGTTACCAGTAACAAGGTATTCGTAACACCATTCTTGCATAAACCGTGGTGGCGGTCCTCCTTGCGCAATGCTCACAGCGAATATTTCACCTGCAACTCTGGAGATATATACTGTTTTATATATGGACAACAGTTCTTGGCTATATATATATATTAGGGCCGGGACTTTTACGCGTTAATTAAGATTAATTAATTACAGACTTTAATGCGTTAATTTACACAAAAAATCATTTTAATCGCACTTATTTTTGCACCGCGGAACGTTTCTCACTGGATGAGTTTCGGCGGACCAATTATACTGGAGCACCAACTAGCGTTCACGATGAAGAAGCTGACGAGATCGCTTGCTTCATAGATCGCTTTGGTTGGCCCCGTGGAAAAAAACGAACGGATGGAAGCGTCGATAAGAGCATGGTTGTGTGCGAGTTATGCAACAAGGAATTCGCTATTGCTATTAGTGTAGCTATTGCTACACTCAGGGCCTGAAGTTAACTTTTTTGGCCACCAGCCACTGTGGCAGGTGGATATCAAAATTCACCTGCCACAGAGACTTTTTACCAGCCTTTTTTTTTTTTGCCTCATAGCCTAAAAGTGAAAAACGGGAATTTCACAATATTGTTCTTTAACTTGTACACATTTAAGTGCTGTCAAGTTATTAACGAAATCAATATAAGTAATAATAACTCTTAGAATATACATTTTAAAAAAAATCGTTTTATATATTGATTTTGACACACACGCACATACAGATCTATAGACTTACCGCAGCTCGTATGTAAACAAATCAACACGCGGCTGTGTTGATGGCTGATTTAGTCACGTAGACAGCTAGGTCCTGACAGCTTTTAGTTACAGCGTTCAGGAACCGTTAAGCTGAACTAAATTAATATTATTACTGGTAAATTTACCGGGTACCGGACATTTTCTCACCGGTTCCCAACTCCCAACATGTACTACATTTGCACACGCACACATCTGTGCAACTGTCATTGTTCTGGAGCCTACGTCAGCGTTACATTATCTCATCCCATCTCACCAACAGTTTAATACTCGCACATCCAAACGTAGTCAGAAAAGGGCCTCATCTTCTTTCTGATCGCATGAACGTTACGAAACAACAGTCGCTGTCATAAATCAGCCGCTCACGAACCTTGCCGTTGTCGCCAATTGACCACTTTGTATTAAAATGTCTTGTTTTACTTTTCTTTGACTCATCCTCATCTTTTTGTTGGTTGTTTGTTTCAGCTGGCCTTTTTACCCCAGTAATGTGCCGCCACATTATAGCTAAGGTCCAACGCAATGAAAATGAAAACGTAAAAAAAAAAAACCTAATGAATCACTCAATTCTCATTGGCTACCTGCCAATGTGGCAGGTAGATTGACAGTGTTACCCGCCAATAGCAAAATTCACCCGCATTTGGCAGGTGGTCGGTTGTTAATTTCAGGCCCTGGCTACACTTAATGGCAAAAATTGCACTGGTCTGCTGGACTTGGTTGAACAAAAATAAACAATATGTTGTTGATTAAGCTTATGTATTGTCATTATTCAATGGTATACTAAAAATCCATGTGAAAAAAATTACTTCTCACTGTTCTCAGGTCAAATATTTATGCAATTAAAATGCAATTAATTTCGATTAATTAATTACAAAGCCTCTAATTAATTAGATTATTTTTTTTAATCGAGTCCCGGCCCTAATATATATATATATATATATATATATATATATATATATATATATTATACCATTGTGGTATTCCAAACTTTTCTTTTATCTGCAATGATTTAGAAGGAATTGTGTGAATATAAAGTAAACCCAAAATCCAATGGCAAGACATACTTGAACAGCTCATTATCCAGATCATTGAGGGAGTACTTCGGTGTTTTTCCTTTCTTCGCATCACCTTCAAAGAGACGTTTTTCAATGCCAGCAACCATAGCTAAATCCAGAAAAAAAGATTAAATATCATTAGGCTAGAGAGAGGGGCATTGAAAAACAGCACAGCTGTGATATTTCAAATACAGACCATGTATTTTTAGAATAATGAAATCTAGGAATATATATATATATATAAAATAAAATAAATGAACATGTCAACTAAATGCATGATTAAAGCAAACTACACACTGGACAGAAACTCTTTCCTCAGTGCCCCTGTGTCAACTCCTGGCTCTCCCAGGAAGATGATTTTCAAGGGATTGACAGGGCTTCCTGTTTTTTGACGTTTCCACAGCTTCAGACCTCTCTCAACCATGTTGTCTCGTGACACACAGATTTCAAAGGTCTTTGTTGTATTTATCTGTGCTGCTGCATGACGAATCACATCCTCCTCACTGGAAATAAAAATAAAGTAAATATATATATATATATATATATATATATATATATATCCTTTTTGAACAGAAGCAATGAACATAGGTAGGTTACCATGAGATATGATCCAAATCAGAGCAGGGTATTTTTTCTGGCACTCCATCTGGACTGTTTTTTGTTTAAAAGCAAAAATATAATAATTGATACATACTCAGGTTATAAACATTTCACCACTTTTAAACATTTTCAAACACTTCAGCAACAGTGTAAACACAGATAAAATAAATATTACACCCAAAAATGATCACTCAACCTCATGCCATTTGACCAGAGAAACGCACAAGGAATTTTGTTTTTTTTTATGAAGATATTTTTCTTCACCATTGCCAGATTTAATTTGGTCTTTGTATATGGTTTAATTTTGTGAGTGAATAAATAATTACATTTTGACCTGTTCATCATACAGTGATCATATGGATTCAGAGAACAACATTTATAACTAGGTGTTATTTTAAGCTCTATTGCGAGTCACTATTACCATTCATTACCTTTCTCCACAAAAGCTGGCATGCAATTCTAAGTCAGAAACTGGAAAGGTTCCTGTGCATATTGGGCACTGGGTCTCAAGTGCCTAAAAGTTAAAGACAAAATGTTGGCAGGGCCAATTCTGTAGAAGTAATTGATAATTGACAATGGCTATGTTTACATGCAACCAAATAATCCATTAGTAATCGTATTGAATTCGATTTAGTTCGATCCGAATGATTGATCGGATTGAAATGGGTGGTTTATTCCTTTTCTAATCCGATTGAGAGAACATGCATGTAAACACTTGATCGGATTGAAAACCGAAACTGGAAAGGACTGAGTGTGTGCAATGACGTAGAAATGGCGCAATGAGGTATGACGAATGAGCTGCAGTTGTTCTTAAATAAAATGTCACAAATGACAGTTTTTCTAAAAGTCCTCTACACTCATCATCTGTGAAGTAGAGAACATTGTTCCATCAGTCAATCGTTCATACTCTCATCCACAGACACTTTATTTTTGCCGTTTTTACTGTTTGATAAATATAAGCAGCACAGCATAACAGTTCATGTGCTCATCGTTTCCTAATCAGAACCCGAAATAGATGAATATGTCTGCTCTTTAAAACAAAGAAAATAAGCAATGTAGGAGAATGGAATGCACAAACAGCAGGAAACTCCGTATATTCATGCAGTGAGCGCATTTAAAATAATCAATCATGATTTGAAACTTGTGGCACATTAACGCACACATCAACCCGATCACTTTACGAACTACGTTCGGATTCATCAATCAGAATGACTTCACTCCAGTTGAAACAAAAGGTGTTATGTAAACATAGCCAATGTTAAATGTAGCTTTTGGTTGTGTACCTCCTGAGGGTGATGTATAACATTAGATGATGTTGCCTCCTCTATAAACACCAAATCTTCTTCCTGCAAAGAGAAAAGAAAAATATGTCAAAAAAAAAAAAAAAACTTAGAAGTCAGGGGCATAGTGAAATGTGGTTGTGAATGTGTTAAGTTAGTATATTAAAAGGTCTTCAAGGCAAAGTCTCTGCAAGGCTACAGTGTTACTGAATGTCCTGAATTTCAATTGTTACAATTGGAGTAATAACAAGTTTTGCTATTTGTCAGCACTGTCACTGGACAGTTCTTTAAAGGGACACTTCACCCATTTGCATTAATCTTTGTATCGTTAGAAACCCAGTCATATTTTTGAATGGTCGTGCATTATTCCCTCATTTTTCCCTGAGACAGGAGAAATACAGATTTCAGTGTTGTAGTTCCTGCTTACAATGATGTAAAAATCGTCATTTTGCGTTATTGTAACCAGGAAGTCCCACATCTCTGTATAGGGATTGAGACTACACACCCGTTCCTCATTTTTCCAGGGGGTGGGACTCTCTTACGCTACAGACCTATTACAGATCAGTGGGTGGGACTTCACTTGCAGAAACTAAAAGCAATATCCGCCATCTTGTTTGGAAGCTAAGCTAACAAGCGCTGTGGAGCCAGATGTGAATTAAGACAATGGCAGAAGGTACTCAATATGATATGGAAGAAGAGGATTTAGAAAGGCTGATGCTCAACCCAGATGTTCGTGGCTACTTTTACCATATGGATAGCGGTGCTGGCGTGCGTATATGGATACCTCATAGGCGGTGTTCTGGATTAGTGGGAGTGGCTTGTGGAGCTGTGCATTGTGGGAGTTGTTGTCTTTCATACAAATGCCCCCTAAAGTTTCTTTCTGTCTTTCCTCGGTCAAGAAGGCACCAAATTCGTCATTTATGTTACCTTTCGACTACATATATGACCCACTTTCAATAAAGATTAATGTTCCCACGGGTGAAATGCCCCTTTAAGATAGTAACCTAAAGGCTACGCAACGTAGTTTTACCTCAATTTCAGAGTTTTCTGAGTTGTGCATGCTGTCACACTGGTCAACATGCAAAGCCAGTGTCTGAAGTGGCATCAGAGTCTTGCATTTTTTACAAGTTGCCTTTGGCATTCGGGCAAATTCAGGTGCATCTGGTGGCAGTGGTGTCATGTCAAGCTCATCCTGCAACGGCACGACGTACAGCAAGTTCTTCCCACCACTAGAAGCACTTTTGATCACTGATCCTGTATACCCCTCTGCCTCCAATGGTATTACAGATATTCTTCTCCTTCCATTCCCACCTATATGAGGGTAATACAACAACTGAAAAAGAGAACTCTACGGTATAATTCTTTAATGTTTTCTGTACTGAATGGACTAATTTATATTACTGAATTTTAAAGGGATACTCTACTGGTTTTTCATATTAAACTATGTTATTCCCTTAACTAAGACGAGTTGATACATACCTCTCTCGTCTCAGTGCGTGCACTAAATCGCTGTCTTGCGGCGAAACTTTGTTAGATCTTATCTCAGCCCTGTTCATTCAATACGAGCCCAGAAGAGAAGCCACCAAACACCTCCACGTTTTCCCTATTTAAATAGTTACACGAGTAGTGTAACTCGACCTAAGACGGTGACACAAAATAAAACGTTGCGCTTTTCTAAGCGTGTAAAATGGATAACTATATTGTATGACAGAATACCATAGCAAGTGCTTGGGAGCACTTCGACTCGGCGCAGTAATTTCATCTCTCGTGAAAAGTCCGCTCCCGTTGAAATGAGAGGGAGGAGGAGAGGGAGCGGGGGAGAGGACTTTTCACGAGTGATGATATTACTGCGCCGAGTCGAAGTGCTCCCAAGCACTTGCTATGGTATTCTGTCATACAATATAGTTATCCATTTTACACGCTTAGAAAAGCGCAACGTTTTATTTTGTGTCACCGTCCTAGGTCGAGTTACACTACTCTTGTAACTATTTAAATAGGGAAAACGTGGAGGTGTTTGGTGGCTTCTCTTCTGGGCTCGTATTGAATGAACAGGGCTGAGATAAGATCTAACAAAGTTTCGCCGCAAGACAGCGATTTAGTGCACGCACTGAGACGAGAGAGGTATGTATCAACTCGTCTTAGTTAAGGGAATAACATAGTTTAATATGAAAAACCAGTAGAGTATCCCTTTAACACCAAATGATGATAAAAGCAGACCTGCAGCTTTGAAAAGAAGCCACCTGTCTTCCAAATCATTCATCTTTGAGTACGCTTCCCGCAGCAAACTTGATAACTGTTAAGGTTAAAGAAAACCCTTAAAACACTGACACAACAAATAATGCTATTCAGAATATGCATTTGCTTAGGATCGGGCTCCTCACCTCTGCATGTGTTGTATCTGATGTCAAGGACAGGGTCCTCTTTCCTAGCCCTGCTTGCATGAGCTCCAGCTCTTCAGATATAGACGGGGTTGTATCAGATTTAGAGCCCAGCAAAGACACAGAACAATCAAACGTTTTCTGCACTTTTGCTGGTACTGTTGGCCTTTGACTTCTGGCAAGATGTCTTTTATTTTTGCCAGTATTTCTAAAAAATCCAGGAAAAGATCTGCAAATTATAGAATAGGTAAAACTATTAATGTGTGTTTTTGGTGTTTATTTTTGAGTAGCAAGAAATACTATTTTTAGCTGCTGCATCCTATGCCGAACTTCTATCACTATAAAAAAAGGAATGTTTGAGTATCCTGTGTAACACCTAAACTGGCCCTTTTAAATATGCTTGCTATCTACCTAGTCATTTCATGTTCCACAGTAGGTCTTACTGACTGCTGGATCTGGCTCTGAGTCTGACCCTGTCTTGTATTTTCCTCAGGGATTACTCTGGCCACCAAGGACATTAAATGTTGTGCTGCTTCGGTTACAGCACGTTGGTCATACTGGGGAAAAAAGGTTTAGGTGCAAAACACTAGTATTATAATACTGACCAAAACAAACTGTCAACTGATTAATTTGTAGAAATAAGCTAATACCGGTAGCTTACCTGTGGTTGTGACCTGCCTGGTTGGCTTTCAATTCTGCCATTAAGACAAAGAAAATAACTCAAATTTAATGTAAAACATACAATAACTAAGTTATACATGCAATACACTGTGAAAATCAAAAATACAATCCATGTGGCTAGATCAATTTACACAAACTCTCACACACACATACCGGTACATACATATGTATGTACTGTGCAAATGTTTTAGGCACTTGAGTATTTTCACCCTCAAAAAAAGATGTAAAATATCAGTGTAACATTACATTTCCAAACATGCATTTAGCCATTAATTGTAATAATCCAGTGAATTGTTTATATGCACAATGAGTCTGACAACAGCCGGTATACCGGTAATCTGATTTCACCATCATTGATTCTTTCTGGGATTACATGAAGAAACAGAAAAACGGAGACAGACAAAATCCAGAAGAACTGTGGCAACGTCTCCAAGGTGATGCAATTCTGACACACTACAGCAAAATAACTGATGAATAACTGACTTTAAACTATTTTTTTTGGGTGAAAATACTAACGTGCCTATGACTTTAAGGGGCTGATGCACCGAAGGAATCTTATTATAACGTTAGTTCCTCGAACTAATGGCGGGTCTAAACCAGGACTAACTTATAGGAAGGAACTAACGTTACCAGTGACTTTAGTGCACGCTGATTGGCCAAAGTCGTGTAAATACAGAATATATAGCCTATATATTCACTCCAGAAACTAACTATACGAACATCGAAAATAGTGGCCTTTAACGTTACGCTGAGAAAATCCAATGTGATTATGTATGTCTGCTCAGATAGCAACATTGGACATCAATCACACGGCAAGCGGTACAATATATTTGGTGTTGGCTAACGTTAATACAATCTAGTCAGCGGTAACACTAAGTTAACTAACGTTACAGACTGGTCTATCCGACGCAACGTATTTAAATGGGACAGCATAAGAGGAGAGAATCATTCAGTTCACTTGTCACTGTTTATGATATTAAATTGTCTTACTTACCCAGTAAACGACCTGTTGCTCGCCATTCTAGAAGTTCGCTCGCTTTTCTCTCAGACACAGACTGGCCTGGCGACGATGATGGCAGCAGCAGCGGCGGGAAATTGTAGTGGGCGTGGCAAACCTGTCACTTCAATCGAGGGTGACCAATAGAAAAAGGCCTTTCATCTGGTTGTTAGAGACCGCCTACTGAGGTACATCTTCACGAGCAAGCAAAACTTTTCAACTCGCAAGCAAAACTTTTTAACTCGCAAGCAAAACTTTTCAACTCGCAAGCAAAATATTTACACCCGCAAAAAAGACAGCAGAAAGGAGAGCAAAATGTGTGGGTTTGTGATGAAAAGTTTTTGAAGTGCACAAAAAGAATAAAAAAAGTTTTCACAAGAGTACACACACTGCAAATAATTATGTTATCAACTTCTTTATTTTTGAGCCTTTAGAAGACTTTTTTGCACTCTTTTTTTTTTTTTTTTTACAAAATAATTAGCTTTATTCTCAAACACAGAATGTTTGATTGAATAAAAAAGACACAAAGGAAACTCCATACAGCAGAGGCCCTGGAGCAGAGCACCTTATTGACAACCGGCCCTCCCCAGCAGCCTTCGGTTGAATGTGCTCCAGATCGACGGGCACAAGAGGTAGTAACGTTGCAAGGTGAGTCTAACGTTAATCTCAGTCAGCCATTTTGTAATCGCTCCAGTCCCCTTCATATCTATGGTAAAAATAAATGTTGTGTCATGTTTTCAAAATGAATCTGAAATTAGCTGTTTTAACTTTGTACTTAGTTCCAAACGCCATTTTGCGCCCTTTAAGGGCATTCAGGGAAAGAGAACAACGGGATCCCTTCTAAAGGGCCCTTCCACAAGGCCGTTACGGTCACTTGTTCAAGCTTTATTTTACATCAAGTGTGCCCTCTCCCCTTCATTACTGCCAGGTGTCAAAAGTAACGTTATTCACATAATTCATTAACTTATTCAAGTAAAAGTATAGATACTAGGGTTTAAGAAGACTTCTGTAGAAGTTGAAGTATCATCTCAAGCTTTTTACTCAAATAAAAGTGTAAAAGTACTGGTTTCAAAACTACTTAAAGTATAAAAGTAAAAGTAAGGGGCGGCATTCCCTTCGAAAAATAAAAGTAATCCACTGCGTCTTATGCACTTATCAGCTGCTCTGGTGTCAGGTGTACGGAGACTGCTATGTTCACTCTTACATCCAACAACAGAACACCTGAGTTACTGGAAAAAGTATGTCATCTATGTACTTTTTGCCTGCTCTTTAATGAGTACTTTGAATTGAGACATACTACTTTTGTCATATTGGTGCTGTAAGGGGACAGAGTTAAGCTAATAATGATTTTTTTATACTTAAGGCATTGACTTTGTATTTAGCACTGCTTTAAATTTTGACATTTCTAGGTGAGGTGAATCGATTATTTTCACCCTACCCTCGTCGTCCAGTTAATCAACTAAGAAGAACTGGGCATTTCCCTCCTTCACAATCTCCTAGACTGAAAAAAAAGTGTGTGTCATACACACACAGATTCTTTTGCCTAGCCAAGAGGAAAGATTCAGAAGTTCCAAAGGTGCCAGAAAAGTTTCAACTGGAGAGAGCTGGACTTGGAGAAAAGAAAATTATTTTCTCTGGTGAGTTTGCAACAGTTATGATAATAACAGTTATATCATATACATAATATCATAACTGATAATGTGCTGCATGTTAATGTGCATTTTCTTTAAATGTTTTCCTCATCAGACAAATACTCTTCTTCGTCAGAGTTTAGTCAAGAACTCATGCGCCAGTTCCCAAAACTGAGTGAAGCTGGTGGTTTTCAGCTTTTAAAGACGAGAGGCTGCACCAGGACAAAAATTCTGGAACCTATCCCATGTCCAGATGAAGGCTACTCTCCTGAATATTTGTGCTCTGATGCAGTCGGTATAGGAGCTGCAACAATTTATGTAAGACCCCTGCAAAAAGATCTGAATACAGAAGTAAGTGTTTAAAAAATTCTTAAAACAAAGCTGTTTGTGGTACAGAACTTAAAGATAATTTGCATACGCAGTGGTAGCCTATAGTCTATGTGATACGCAGGTATACGCCGTATACCCACTAGAAAATGTCAAGGATTTCCGTATACCCACTAGGAAAGGTCAAGGATCTCCGTATACCCACTTAAAAAAGCGTGAGGATTCGTAACAACATCGTTTTGTGACAGAACTTTCATTCATAAATTCACCGCGCCGTCTGTGTTTGTGCAGCGACACGGATCGAATCACGGAATCCAGTCACAAATGTAACTTAGCCTACAGTATATCACAGTATACTCACTACAAAAAACTAGACTACACCACTGTGCATACGAAATAGATCAAAAGGACATACTAAGGGAAAGAGCAGATACATGTAGCCTCACGGGAAGAACTTTGCAAATGGGTTTCCACGAACACCATGGGGATAACCAAACAAGTGGATGAGTTTTAGTATGTACAAAATACGTCAGACTAGAAACAAAAACCCACATAATCTTTTAGAGTGTCTACTGTTTGTTGCGAGTTTTCAGCCACAGAGAGCTGAGCTACGTGTCATCTGAAGGTTTTAGATCCAGGATTGAATAAAATTGTCAATTCCAAAAAACTGGCAATGTGAACCTTATACATACAGTCAGTAATTAATATTTCACTTGTGTTTTCAGTATTCCATTAGGGCTGTAACGATACGCGATATAAAACCGAAATCGCGATATTCAGATCCACGATCTGTATCGCGATGTGAGAAGGCAGAATCGCGATTGTGACACACCCCTGCCAACTCCCAGAGTTATCCTTCCCGTCCAGATCCAATGCTACCACATCTTTAAATTACTATTAGTATTATAGCTCAAATGTTTCTAGTGTCAATGTATTGCTTGTTTTTCTGTTTACATTGTATGTTGTGACACTTCTCTTCTCTCATGATCGAACATAGAATGCTGCTATGTCAAAACGGCATTGCCTGTCTTATTTTCCAGCAGCTTTTCCAGTAAATTTTTTTTCTAGAATTACTAATTCAGGGTTCCAGACTGCGACCGTTTTTTGAGAATGTGCGAGTTAATTGTATGTGGTCGCATTTGTGCGAGTGGACGCTCGCGCAACAGAACGCCGTTGTATCAGCTGCTGCAGTCCGTAACGTAACTTATGTTGAAAATGAACGAGTACATCATGAATCCATTTTCCAAACCGTGTTTTTGATTTATCCTGAATCCCTACGGTACGCTTATAATAAGTGCAGTGTTTCCCCTACCATTGTTTTGGGGGGGGCGGCCCGCCCCCCCAAAACGACCCCCCGCCCCCCCCCCCTAAATTGCTGACGAAATCCAGTCATTAAAAAGAAATTTACTGTATAACGCGGAATTTCATGGAATTTGTCAATCTTTTGAGAAATAAATAGAAAGCAGTTCAGTATACACTTGAAATCAAATCGCGATGTAGACAAGTGTGTGTGGATATTAAACCACAAAGACTATTTAAATACGAATCCTGCTTGTTCTGTGTGAATGAATGGTGCAGCCGACGCGCAGTTTCATTTAACGTACCACACACACACACACAAAAGGTCTTCACGGCAACCCGTCAAAATAAAAGTTCGGTTTAACGTGACAGAAATATATTACCGTTGTACAGTAGAATTTAGATATGTCCCAATGTAATAATACTAACACTAATCCAAATAAATTATCATCAAAACTGATTTTTTTTAGGAATAATCCATGTTTTAATTTTAACAGTAAAGCTCATTGTGCAGCACGTTATTTGACAAAAAGTTTATTTAATTTCATATGATTAAAGCTGATGATAAATTATAACATTTGTGTTTTATGTCTTCATTTTATTACCAGAAAAAACACAACACAGAATTAGTGTGAAATTTTTTTTCATATTTTTTTTTAAAATGTTGTATACGTTTAATGATTCATAATACACTATTTCAATTAATTAGACATGCTTTTTGATTGCTAAAAAATGTACACCACGTATCCGTAACACGCCCGCTCCGCAACACTAGCAGCCCCCCCCCCCTGAAAAAAAATCCTAGGGGAAACACTGAAGTGTTTATATTCTGACTATTTTATCCCGGGCTCGGCTGCGGAGTTGCCCAGTGCCTGCGTGACTCGCCATAGACATTAACGGAGAGAAGTAGCTCCGGCTACAGTGTTCTTCCGCAAGACACGTGCAGTTTATTTATTGACGAACGTACACGTCACGTGCATTGCACACTGATGGTGAAACGCGCCAATTACGAATTCAGGAATTAAGGCATATTAAAATGAAAAGGTCTCACGAAATACCGAGCCCCTTCCTATGTCTTTTCAGCGGTTAGATGATAGTAATCGATCGACAGAGGAAAATTATTGTAAAATGCAGAAGGTAAGGAGTGTGAGATTTCTAATTTTTGTTACAACTATAAACTTTGATAACGGAAAATCTGTATCAGCATATTATACTACTCTCATCTTTTAAAATGTAATGCATACATTTTAATGTTTAATGATTTTTAAAAGATAGAAAGATGATGCTGATAGATAGATAGATAGATAGATAGATAGATAGATAGATAGATAGATAGATAGATAGATAGATAGATAGATAGATAGATAGATAGATAGAATATAATTAAAATGTAAATAGATAGATGTATACACTCTAAACAATGCTGGGTTGTTTAAACTCAAATTTGGGTCAAATATGGACAAACCCAAATGTTGGGTTAAAAATGTAATTAAAAATTTCAACCCAACTTCAACTTTCCCTTCCAACTGTAAAATTTTTTTTATTACATTTCAGGGCTCGACATTAAGGCTTGTCCGCTTGTCCGGGACAAGTGGATTTTTTGTAGGACAAGTAGAAGAGAAAATTAGTTGTCCGACCGGACAAGTTACATTTCAAACAAAATAAAATGCCATGTTACTTCACGTTATGTGCCACTCGTAACGTCTATTTTACAGATTTAATTTTACCGATTTGAAACGAACACATTTTTTCGCGTTGCCTGTGAATGTCCTGAATGTGACTCACAGAAAGACGCGC